ACAAGGTTTTTAACGAGGCAGTACATAAAATTAGAATGGGTTACTAAACTATGTCCATTTCACGAAGTACTCATCATTAATTGAAAAATAAACATTCAAGGGGGAGTGTTATGAAATTAATGATTGTTCATTTATTCAATTAATCAGGACTAATTTCTAGAATAGTAGATTAAGACACTCATTGATGAGTATCAATTATGTACAGTACTTCCCACTTGTATTTGTATCCATACCAAGGCTTTCCACTATAAATAGAGGCCTAATCCCTGCATTGTAATCACCATTAAGAATAAGAAGAAGAGTGAAGAATTAATAGAGAGAAGAAATCAGAAATATATTATATCTATTCTCATAATCTTTGAGTAGTTTTTCTCTCATTTTATAACAATTTAGTTATTCTTCTAAGTTGTGAAAGAAAATGAGAGATTGGACTATGCAGGATATCTTCTTGGCCATCCTACTGCCCCCTTATGCCATGTACAGGCGCTATGGGGTCGAGGTACTTTGTTTTTTTCCAATTTCTCGAGGAACCGTAATAATAAATATGTAACTTATTTTGGGAAGCTGAGATTATATATTTTTATTGATCATTTGATAAAATAATAAAATAGTAATACCGCGTCTTGTTGTGTTTAATTATTAAAATACCATTTAAATATACAAGTTTTATTTTTTCTGTTCGATAACAATTTTTAAATATTTTTTTCTAAAAAGTATGAAATTTTATCTCGCAATTGGAGTTTGTCTTTTGGCATGGAACATAGGGAGGGGGAGCATTAGCAATAGTAAGATTAGTAACCCACTGAAGTAGAAGTAGATTTAATGCATGTTCGAATGCCTCTCATATGAGTGTATCATAGGGGGAGTGCATTTTGTTCAATTTATTTTTTCTATTTATTACTTATACTTATTAAAATCAGATTATCAAATCAGATCAGATCAAATTCAATCATATCATATCAGATCTTATCATATTTGATCAGACCAGATCTAAAAAAATTAATATTCTTTTTTTAATTACTATTACTATTATTAACGCTATTATTATTATTAATACTATTACTATTAATAGTATTATTATTGTTACTATTATGATTACTATTACTATTATTGTTATTATATTTATTATTATTATTATTTCTATTATTACTATTATTATTAGTATTATTACTATTACTACTATTATTATTATTACTATTATTATTACTATGGCTACAATTATTGTTACTATTTTGTTTATAATTATTACTATTATTATTATTACTACTACTAATATTATTATCAATATTATTATTATCAGGATTATTATTATCATCATTATCATTGTTACTAATATTATTATAACTATTATTATTAGTATTATTTTTATTATTATTATTTCTTTTATTATTGTTATTATTATTAATATTGTTATTATTATTATCACTATTGTTATTACTATTGTTATTATTTCTTTTATTATCACTATTTCTATTATTATTATTTGTATTGTTATTATTTATATTATTATTAGTATTCTTATTATAGTTATTATTATTACTATTATTTCTATTATTATTAGTATTATTATTATTGCTATTATTATTAATATTTCTATTATTATTATTATAACTATTGTTATAACTAGTATAATAAAATTTTTAATCAAATTCATATCAGATCATACCATAATAATAATAATAGTAATAAAAATAATAGTAACAATAATAATACTATTAATAGTAATAGTATTAATAATAATAGTGTTAATAATAGTAATAGTAATAAAAATAAAATATTAATTTTTTTTAGATTTGATCTGATTGATTAGATCTGATCAAATATGATTGGATCTGATATGATATGATTGGATCAAATCAGAACTTCAAAAAATCAGATCAGACCAGACGAACGGAACGCAACCATAATTATATGGCTAGACCATAATGTATTTAATTACTTCTCCCTTATTTTCTCTTATTTTCTCTAAAATTTCATTTATTGACAAGTAAAACAAAAAAATGAAAATGGATTTTAGGTTGCCTTAATTACCTCCCAAATAAATTTAATTTTATGGGTTTATTTTTTATAAATGCAGTGCATCTTTTTCTGCTGTTGTTTTTTCACTCTGTTTGGATACATCCCTGGAAGTATAGATGCCGTTATCATGACCATCACAGTAAAGGTAGTACTTCATTTAAATAAAAACGTAACAGAAAATATATTAATTTCGTTACAATTACTTTTTCTCATTCTTTCTTTGCTCACCTTTTTCAGAAGGACAATAACTAATAGATATATGGAGTGCTTCTATCATGAACCTCCTCACTCAGAGTAGACTACTATGGGTTGGTGTTGTATGTGGTGAAGTGTGTGTGTGTGTATATATATATATATATATATATATATATATATATATATATATATATATATATATATATATATATATATATATATATATAGACACATCTGAATTTGTTGCATGTGGTCTCCATTTAATTTTGTGCTTGAAGAGTGTGATTCCTTTGTTTTTGGTTGAGTTCTTTGTTGGGATATTGCAAAAGCATTCATTGTGTTGTGTGTATTGTACTCCCTCCGTTCTAAAAAATTTTTCTCGTTGCGCAAAACGAAGAAAAAAATCCTAAGTTTTTTCAGACTATTTTATTTAAATATTGGTATAGAAATAAAAAATAAAACATACATATTTTAAAACTACATCAAAAGTTCAACAAAACAAATGATGACAAGAATATTTTATTTTATCATATAGGCCATAAAAAAACACAAATAAATATAAATTTCCGTGAAGTTGAAATAGTGCTATGGGAAGAAAGTTTTAAGACGGAGGGAGTACTCCGTATTTCATTTTACTCCGTATTATAAAGTGG